TTGCACAGTGACTTATATCAATTTGTCTTAACAGGGGGATATTTTTTCAAACTCCTGCACACTGTATTCTAGAAAATTCCTTAATAAGTACTAATTAAAAAATCCCGGTCGATTGTTTCTACAAATTTAAAAAAATTTACAGCTCAGGCAATATTGCTTTTAAAAGCAAGTCTGTCATTTTTTTTCAATCGCATTAGCATGCATGCTTATTGAACGTATGTTTAGGAAACCTTTAGTGTAAAAAGAATGTGAAAAAGTGTAATTTAATTGGCGAGCCAAGACGTAGGCCATATTATGCGTATGCAAAATGTGTGAGAGAAGCGGGAAGTGCAATGAACAATCACATTTTTCGCATGATGGAGATTTATAGGCCTAGTATTTTATATAAATTTATGAAGAACATCTTTTTTGATCGAGCCTCAATTGTTGTGAAAAAATATAATCAGTTAAGACCTTTTTTTTAATACAAACTGCTGTGCAAAGTACGGGTGACTTATTTTTTCTGGTTAAAGAGATATTTAAGGAAAAGTTGAGCCACGAATTTTACTGCGCGCAAAAGTAGTCCAGTTATACTAATGTTGTTTTATTATTAATGTGGACAGGCGTAAAATATTATATGTGATGCGCTTGCAAATAAACTTGATTTCGTCTGTGCTTGGTTCACAACCCGACGTTCTGTCAAGTCTCTACAATAGTTTACTTCGCTTTTCATCTACCTTTTCCAAGCTGTCTTCTTTTTCCTTTCTTTTCATGTTATTGTTATTGCCGTCGTTATTCGGACTCAGGTCCGGAAAAATGGAAGTGTCTTCGTTCTATAGATCTAACGTTCAGTGCTTCCAATTTTCCGCCATTTTTTAGTTTCCCCCACACCTTTTCTGCCGATCCGATGCCCGCCGCCTCATTGATACGCCCCCCCCCCACCCATGTTTCCCACTTTCTTTACTGTAGAAAAAGGTAAAATTGAAGATTAGCAGATCACCTCACCTGCATATTATGAGCTGTGTAAAAAAAAGACCGATTCGTTCAAATACACAAGCCTGTGTCATCTCGATTGTTTACCAAGAAAAAGTTGTGTTGCTGTGTAGAGCTCAGCATACGGCAACTTTTGATTTCATAGAACAGCGCACAATTCATTACGTAGATCTACGTCAAGATTAGCTTATTATTGTAATAATGATCAGTTGCCAAGGGGAAAAAGACTGACGCGCATGCGACGTTCAACGCCCGGACCGATAGTGCCCCCCCATCCCCCTCCCATAAACGCACACAGCCACACGTGTACAGGCCGCCCATCCGACCCCGACACACGCTAACGAGCCATCTTTAATTGCTTCTGATGACCTCATGACAAATAAACATTTATTAGAAGCGCTATAACTTTTCAGGCCGGCCTCAAATTCATCATAAGATAAAAACTTGGCTCCTGCACAAAACGCCTTTTTGCCCGAAGTAATCCCAGTCTCTACCCAGCCTGAGGCGAGTCACGAGTGAGGCAGGACAGGAAGCCGGAGTCACGAGTAACAGGAAGACGGAAGTGATGTCATGCTGGACAAGAATCAGAGTCCGAATAACATTTTTTCATATTCGGACTCGAGTCCGAATAATCACTTCGTATTGTTATTGTCACTGAATATGAGTTGATCTTCCTTGCGTGCTATCAAGACTTAGTGCGTGCTCAGGCGTGTTCTCTCATGCAAAAGTGAGTAAATTTGCGGCGTACTAGCGTCATTAAATGGGGCTTAGGCTTAAGGCCTATTTCTTTCAGGTCGCAAAGCTTAAAAATGTACTCACGTCTGCCCGCAGAATGCACCTGCGCACACACACTATTATCCTGCTCATTTTTGTCACAACCATTCCCTTTGTGTAAATTTGTTCATCTCTTTCTTTCTCTCACGAACACCCCCCCTCCCTCATCTCTCTCTCTCTAACACACACACACACATACACTTTTTCTCCCTCTCTCTCTCCCACTCCTTACTTTCTTTCTCTCTTCCATTCTGTCTGTTTTTCACACACACACACTCTCTCTTTTTTCTCTCTCTCTTTCTCCCCCTTCCTCTCTTTGATTTCTTTTATTGACACATAACAACGTGGGTGCAGACGTGAGCAAATTTCAAAATTTGGTTCATCCACGGCCACTGGATACCTCACAATCGTATTCAGATATTTTAAACATTCTCCTAGTCCTAGATCTAGATCTAGTAATAACTCCTTACGTCAGGAGCTTCGTTAAAGTGACCGTTTTCCTCCAGTATTTTTGCAAAGTCCAGATGCATGCATATCTGCGTACGGTCCCGTAACACCACGCCTTAACGCAGGTAGAGGACGTACGGTCCCCTAGCGCCAAACACTATGGGGGCGTACGGTCCCCTAGCGCCAAACACTATGGGGGCGTACGGTCCCCTAGCGCCAAGCGCTATTGGGGCGTACGGTCCCCTAACATCAGCCAACATTAAATTGTGGTAAAATTCAGGGGGGCATGCCCCCTCTGAAACCCCCAACCAGGGGGCTGAGGGGGGCAAGCCCCCCTACTCTTGGGGCCAAAAACCGGTGAATAACAATTGCGGGGTGGGAACTACCGAAAAAGCGCCCGGGTTTTAGGTGAGGTCGAGTACCAAAACAGTCACATGCCT